ATCATCTTCAGAATTATCTTCTTCATTTGTATTATTTCTATTATCTTCTTTAGAATTATTTTCTTCAGAACTAGATTCTTCACTTGAAGTTTTATCATCATTCTTTTCATTATTAGAAATGTAAGTGGGAATTATTTTATTTATGGTATCTAACACCATTGATATTGACATAGTATTAATAATGGAAGATAACTTTTTCTGTCCTATCATAATATTATTTATTATATTAATTTCCAATATCCTGTTTATATACATGTATTTAATACATTTATTTATCATATAATTCATCATATTTTTATTATATAAATTTCTAAGAAACTCATTATTCCATATTCTTACTCTAAATCCATTAAATGAATTAATGTCATTATCAATTAATATGTTTCCTATTTTTATTAATATATAAAGACTGTTGTTGTTTAATCTATTGCAAATCAATAAATTATCTATTAAGTCATTACTAGCATTTCCTGGACTATTTAGCTGTTCATTATAAATTCTATCTTTTTTTATAATTTGGATGCCTTTTCCAGTATATTAAATGTAGTTTCATCTTTGGACTTTTTAACTTTATTACCAGTTGGAGTGAGTTCCTCAGATACTACTATTTCTTTGGTATTAGGTTCTATTTCATTAGCTACTATTTCTTCAGATACTACTTCTTCAGGTACTACTGTTATATTATTTCCCTTTTCCAATAATTTATTGTTTAGTATTTTTGTATTGCTTAATTCACATTCAATAATTTCAGCAGTATTCTTTTTCTCAAGTTCTTTTTTTGAGAATCTTTTACTCTTTCTCTGGATGTTTCCCATGTATTTTCCATCACAAACTGGATAGTCCTGACCATACTTGCTACTGCTTTGGCTAATTTGCCTTCTACAAAGTCTTGTTGTGGAGCTGGCCATGTACTAGGAGTTCTCAGTTCATAACCAAAAAGGAGTTTTGCAGGAGAGTACTTTGTAGAGTTACTTGGCATACTATGGATAGCCAAGAGCATTGAATTGAGATAACAATCCCATTGCGTATCAGGTTGGTCACCTTCATATAGAAGCTTGGCCAAGGTTTGGGTAATGGTCTGATTCATTCATTCACAGAGTCCATTGGTTTGAGGTTGGTAAGCTGTAGTAGTGATATACCTGCACCCCAATTGTGCCAAGAATTCTCTGATCAGTCCAGAAGTAAAGTTAGACCCTTGATCAGTCAATAAAAAGGTTGGTACACCAAAATCTTTGACCAAATAATTGAATAAAAAGTCTGCAGTTGTTTTGGTATTAATGTTGGGCACTGCTGCTGCTACAAGCCAACATGTCAAATAGTCAATTGCTACCAGGATATACTGGTTTCCTTTGCTTGATTCTACTACAGGACCCACAGCATCACATCCCACCATATAAAAAGGTCTTGATAAAGTTGGTATAGGTTTTGCTGGCTCTATTCTTTGGTGAGAATGTTTGGCTCAATATTGGCAGATAGGACACCCTTGGACTACAGAATGTACCTGTTCAAACAGGGCAGGACCAGTATACTGCATCTTCAATTGTCTCCAAGTGTTGTTTACACCAAAATGGCTTTCTGCATGCACCTTTTTAACTACTTCATCAACTATCCCTTTATGCAATAGCTCTGGACCAAGGATATTTGATTCTTCAGACTTCTGAAATACTTTTCTATGAGTGGTCATGTATTTCTGAGCTTGATGTCTGATCTTTCTTTTTGTAGCCTCATCAGAGTTGGTAGGGTAGGTTCTTGCAGAAATGTAGTAATAAATAGCAAGGTAAAAGGGGTAATCCATGGTAGAAATGGTAATAGAAGATAATACAATAACTCAAAAATAAAAGACAATGAGTTTCCTTGTAAAAAAAATGCAAGATTGTATTTGAAAAAAAATATCACCAAGTTGTAAAAAAAAGTATCCAGTGATAACAGTGGGGTATCCAATGATGTAAGTAATTGTACATATGTCTGCCAGACAAAAAGAGGTAGCCAAAACAGAATAGTATGAGAAAAAGAGTAAAGAAAGGAAAAAGATTGTGGGACAAGAGCATTGATCTCTTTACCACATACAGAAAACGTTAGAAACATATTGGTTTCCAAAAGAGGAAGAAAAGGGAAGATCAACACAAAAAGGAAAGAAAGAGAAACAGAACCAAAAAGGAAATAGTTGAGGAACAGAGAAATTTGTAAAGTCAATTCCCTGCACTACACTTGGCAGTCACTGAGGCCAGCAAGCTCACAACACCATGTGTCAGAAAGAAAGATGCACTGATGGTTAAGGTTAAAGATTTTTTATTAAAGAAGATATATGCATTTGCTTAATGTGGCCTTACTGCACTCCTTGCACTAATTGAAATAAACAAAAAAGTTCTACAGGACAAAAGAACAAAAAAAGACAGGCAAGAGAAAGAAACTAAGACTACTGGACTTTAAGGCTGTCCCTGCTCTCCACTCTGCAGCTGTGTTAAAAGATTGTAACAGTGAGAGGGAGGAGGCCAGAGAAGCAGAACAAAAAGCTGTTCATTCATGCACCTGGTGCACCTGATCATGCCAAAGCATGCCTGGACTTGAGTGGGGACTAAACTCACTGTCAGGATTGCAAAGCTGGTCTATATGCCAGAGAATTGTATGTAGAGGCACCCAGAAAGAAGGACAGGAAGAAGATTTCTTAGAAAGACAGTTGATGGTGTGATCCAATGGATGGCAGTGTTGTGGTGCTGGTGGCAGTTGATCCCATAGGTCCCTTGGAATTGCTGGACACTCTGCAAGATGTCTTCTGGAGGTGTGCTCTGCTGGACTGCACTGACATGGATGTGGCTTACCAGGAAGCCATCCCATTCTCCAACGCATGAGCCTGCTTCTGTCATGTCTGGTTGCTGGCAAGAAGAGGACTGGATCAATGCCAAGTGTTAGCCTGCATGCCTTGATCAGCACCTTGTCTGTCACTTGCAGGTACTGGTCAAGGAGCTGTTGGTGTTGTTGTTGGAAGTATTGCCTAAGCTGTGCAGATGATTCTGGCAATACTCCTGGAAGAGAGGCAAAGAGATGATTCTTGGTGAGTGGTTCAAGTAGTGGCACTCCTGGACTGTTCAACAGCAGAGACAAAAGACATTGAGGTGGAAGTGAGGCAGCACATAGACAGAATCTTGTCTTGAGAGAGTCTGAGCAAAAACTCATGCTGGACAAGTCACAGATATGCTTCAACACCTGATTAGAGCTAGTGGGGTGGCCACCTATGATCATTCTTAGGCACCTGTCTTGTATCTTCTCCAGAGCTTTGATATATTTCTTCAAAAAAACAGTGATTGCCAGACCATACTCAAACTTTGGCCTAATGAAGGTCTTGTATAGTCTTGAGCTGAGGAGCAAAAAGAAACCAGAACGTGAGGCACCAACAGCATGCAGTGTGGACATGGTAAACATTGTGCCTTGCTTTCTGTGTGAGATAATCCCAGAGGAGTTGATTCCATTGCAGACAAAGGGCATGCCAAGGTAAATAAACTCATTGGCTGCTGGATGGGCCTCTCCATATATCTTGAACTGGTTGGCCTGGGAAACAGAAGGTAGAAGGACCACTGCACACTTGGAAGGACTCCATCTAAAGCCAACTGAAACAGAGTAGTGCTCTGCCAAACGCAGCATGTGCTGAACCTCTCCAACCTTACCAAAGACAGCAATATCATCAGCAAAGAAGAGTGAGTTGATTCCTGTAGGCTTATCCATAGTGGTGCTACTGTTGTCTGTTAGTGATTCTTCATACTCTGCCAAAGATGATGGTGAGCTTGACTGCACATGTGTTGTTGTTGTTGCTGTTGCCACACTTCTGAAAAGACATGCAAGTGGGTTAATGTAGATTGAATAAAGGTGGGGGCTGAGAACTGAGCCTTGCATTACACCAGTTACTGGAGAAAACAAAGAGGACACATAGTTGTTCAGGATGACTGACACATGGACATCATCAAACAAGTGGACAAGCAAAGCAAGCAGTAGTGGTGGTGTGTTTCTCTTGTGCAGGGCATCCCAGATCAGGTTCCTGTCTACAGTGTCATAGGCTGCCTTGATGTCCAAGGAGGCTACCACAGGATAGTGGTGGTGTCTCTGATAATATCTCTTCATCAGGTTGTGTAAACACAGAGCCTGGTCCAGTGCACCTCGTCTTGGTCTGAATCCACCCTGAGCAACATCAAGTGAGGGAGAGTACTTGTGCAGGTCTGGTGCTAGACATACCTCAAACAGCTTTCTAAGAACAGAAGTCAATGAGATTGGCCTGTAGTTGGCTGGATCACTTGGATTACCCTTTTTGAAGATGGGGAACACCTGTGCTTGACGCCATGGGAGAGGAACATAGGACCACTGCCAACACATGGTAAACAGACCAGAAAGAATGGGGACAATGGTGGTGCTGAGTGGCTTTAGCATTTCTGCTCTCAGGTGGTCTACTCCTGGTGCTTTCCTATTTGGCAGCAGCTTCATACAGAACTTGACAACAGGTTGTGAGAATGGTGTTGTGGCTGCTGGGAAGGGATGCTGATGCTGCTGTGCTGTTACTGGTGGTCTAAGTGATGTTAATAGTGAGCCTCTATAAACACTCTCAAGGTGTTGGCTCATCACTTCTGCTGCTGCTGCTGGCCCATCTGGGTGTTGGAATGTCTGCTGTGGCTGTCTTCTTCTATGAATCTGCTTCACCTTGGATGTAGCCTTTGCATAGTCTCTCTCCATGCTCTTGCAAAACTCCTGCCAGTGTCTTCTCTTGGCTCTTTGCACCTCACACCTAAAGGCCCTCTGTGTATCCAGGTGCCTCTGCCACCAACAAACCTTGTTCAGGCCTCTTGCCCTTTTCCAGCTCTTGAAGCTGTGTTCCCTCTTCTCAACTGCCACCTGCAGAGCCTCACTCCAGAACTTCTGCCAATGTGCAGGTCTATGTGTCTTGCTTCCAACAGAGCTGTCCAAAGCAGAGTAGATACAGCTGGTGAGGTGATCTGTTAGGCCATCAATGTCAGGACGGGGATGTGATGTAGTGGTATCATATTCGCTTTGCATGCGAAAGGCCCCGGGTTCGATCCCCGGCGTCTCCATTTTTTAGAGAAAAAAAAGATGGTGTATAAGTTGGATGCAACAAATGTTTGATGACCTAATTTGAACACTCCTTATTTTACACCATTTTCTCTACTATCAATATCACTCCTTTATTTTGCATCACTTCTATGTCACTAATCATACACTCCTTTATTATTTGTATAGTGTTGTGTTCCAACTTCAATCCAAAGATTCTTCATGAATTGGTCAACATGAGTAGTACAGTGGCTTTCAAAATAATGATGGATTTTTTTTTATACCCTGGTATAATTCTACAATAGGAAATACTTATTCTTTGTAATAAAAACATACATTAAACACACAGTAGAGACTTGAAAATTGGATGAAGTATAAAGAAGGACAACAGAATAATATATACAAGTTTATTGGGTGGTGAGATTGTTTGGACAGGTAGATTAACAAGACTGAACAAAGATAATTTTTATTGAGTAAAGGAAGGTTCACTATTTATACTTTTGGTGGGTGCTTATCCTTCAGTGGCTTCAACCTTATGGCTGCTTCACAATTACAACTAAATGGTTGGTGTCTATATTACTACATTATGGTAGTATTAATAACTGCCACCTTATGGTTGGCTCATATGTTTTACCTAGTTGTAGTATTATTAGATTCAAACCTATGGTTGGTTCCTGGGATAAGCACTCCATTATTGAAACCATTAATTATTATGAGTCTTTACTCAATTGACTCTGATAGGTCAATATTGTTCTGTTAGGATTATTAATGAAGATGGCACTTGTTAAGTGTCTGATAGTACACTGAGCTTTAGAAGGTAATTTGTAGTTACAACCAATCAGTGAGATAATACAGAGATTTACTATGTTACTTGTGTGCACTCAAGCTTTCATAGAGTATTCTGAATGTCACAGCACACTACTTGTGTTGACTTATTCATAGAGAATCTTTGGATTGAATTCAGAACACAACAGGTGGAAACCCTTTAATACAGTGGCTTTTAATAAAACAATGGCTATTTCAAATTCAGACCCTAATTTTACCCTTAATTTTTTTTAATTAAACATTCTTCATTTATTGCTTTTCTACTCTAATGTCTACCTCACCTAACACCACCAAACAACCCATGAGACCTCTTGGGAACAGAAAGAAGAATATCAATGACTTCACCTGATGTCTCATTGCTCATGAGGCCACTGTAAATGGGACCAGCCAGGCTGCCATTTCTGCTAGGTTTGGAGTTAGTCAACAGTCTGATTCCCTTATTGTAAAGAGATACAAAGAAACTGGTTGCTTCAAGGCCAAGAAGAGCACTGGGAGCAAGCCCATTCTTAATGAGAGGGAAGAGAGAGAGTTCAGCCACAAAGTGGGAAGGGATTCATTCCAGACAATGGATCAGCTTCACAAGCAGATGACCACCCAAGTGTCCATGAACACTTTTAGAAAATTGATGAGGAAGCTTGGCCTGTTTTCTTGCAGGGTGGTCAAGAAACCTTCTCTCACTACTAAGCACAAGAAGTTGATACTTGCTTGGGCTAAGACCTACCTCCATTGGACTGAGGAAGACTGGAAGACAGTCATCTGGTCCAATGAGTCAAAGTACTAACTGATGAGGACCAACAACTGCAACAGAGTGGTGCAAAGAAAGAAGGAGGGACTGCTCCCAAAGAACATCAAGCCCACCATGAAGTTTGGTGGTGGTAGCGTGATGGTGTGAGGATCTTTCTCTGGTGAAGGTGTTGGGAGATTGGCACCTGTGAAGGGCAGTATAGACAGTGGAAGTTACATTGAGATCTTAAAGGAGAACTACTGCCCTGAGCTGGCCCAACTCAAGGCACTGAATCTAGAGGTGGGTTATGTTCTTCAGGAAGATAATGTTAGCTGCCACAAGAGTAGAGGGTCCAGGTTGTGGAAGGCACAGGAGAGCATTGTCACTATGGAGGGGTTGCCCTCACAAAGCCCCAACCTCAACCCAATAGAGCATCTTTGGGAGGTGCTTGACAGGGCCATCAGGAAGAGAATGACCCCAGCAAGCTCCCTTCAGGATTTGGAGGTGCTTCTGTTGCAGGAATGGGAAAAAAATCCCAAGGACACCACAGACACCCTCATTGCCAGCATGTATCAGAGATGTAGGGCTGTCATTGAGGCCAGGGGTGGAGGTACCAAATATTAAGGGTTTCCACCCAATAAATTTGTATTTATTATTCTGTTGACCTTCTTTATACTTCATCCAATTTACAAGTCTCTACTGTGTGTTTAATGTATGTTTTTATGATAAAGAATAAGTATTTCCTATTGCAGAATTATACCAATATGAAAAAATACCATTGTTTTGTTAGGAGCCACTGTAGAACAAGAATCACCCCAAAATTACAACTCAGTCACTGCATTTATTGTTTAACATAATGTGTTATCCTTAAGCCCATAGTATTTACAACATAACACTGCTTGAAAAAGATTTATTATAGGACACACTGAATTAACTCTAGTGCTCATTGTTCATAAAATAAAACCAAATTCACTTACATTGAGAACTGTATAGTCATCTATTGACTCAGTATTTATAATCAATTCAGTAACTATGTTATTGTAACTGGTATTAACAGTGGTGCTTAATGATTACAAAGTATTGTTTCTAATACTGTCCTTTAGGTCCAAGACAAATAGAGTGAATTGTTTGACTTGTAAATTTGATGTGAATTTGACTTAAGAATTTGATGAGTGAAGACTAGTGTATACGTCACCAAAATAGAGAAAGAAAAATTATTTGTTTTGATAATCCCATCCTTTTGTTATTTCTCACACTGCACATACAACTTAGCACCCAAGTATTTGTCAAGATGAGCATAACTGAGCAAGGTAATGTGTCATTATTAATAAAGAGAAACAATGGAAGAAGGTGATAGACACTACCAAAGGCTATTCTTGAGATAAAAAGGTAAGCAGTGTCTTTATCTGGGCTTGAGCTCATTGTAATCCATAAGACATAGTACTGACTCTTCTTCTAATAGATGATATATGGCTTATTATTCTCAAGACAAACACTAAGTACAAGGTAAGTTTACTATCTCTCTTGATTGAATTATTACTAATACACTCTTTTCTGTTATTAGATAAGTTAAGACTCTTCTCAAGTCAGCCTTAGGTGGTCTTCTTCCTTCTATATTATCAATACTGTTTAGGGTGTATTCCCAATCATAGTAATATATGTCCCAAGAATAAAGCATAAGGCTTTTAGAGTGTATTTACTATTGCTATAAAGGAATATGCCTAAAACAGCAGTAGCTATAGTAATAGTATAGTATTAGCTACAGTATTATTAGCTATATTATTATAATAAACAATTTTATCTATTAACAATTTTTTTTATAAACAATATTATTTACTGATAATACAATTTGATATTGAGGTATTCCACAAAAGGAAATAATATTTTGGATACTTGCAAACCTTTGATTTTAAATACAGATCCATAAAAGGCAACTTTTTTTGTAATTTAAAAGGAAGAAGATATCAGTGCTTAAAGGCTAGAAAAATCTCCTGGTGTGTATTCATAATTCTTATTTTACCATTATTTCTTATTTTCCATCATTTTTTCCCTCATCTGAGGTTTTATATTCTTTTTTCTTTCCATTTCCTATTCATTTGCATTATTTTTCACTTTTGTATTTGAAGTGTTTATATGTTTATTCTTATTTTTTTCTAAAATTTCTCATAGGGTGGCTGATATGCCCAATGCACAAATAGCAAACCACACCCAAAAAATAAAAAATACTTTGAACTGTATCAGTAAGCATTAAACACTAGCAAAAGTGTGCGCTAACCGGGAATCGAACCCGGGCCCTTCGCGTGGCAGGCGAAGATTATACCACTTAACCATCAGCGCATCTTCCTTTTTGAAGTTCCCTAATTTAAATACAATAGTTTTAAGCCCGGAGGTATGTGCACAGAGTGGAATAGCTAGTGGTTCTTGGTTTGGACTGAAGCCCACGTAGATCAAAGAAGAAGAATAAAAGAGGATAGAAGATCATGTTTATTCATTGAATTCACTTGATTATTTATACTAAATTCTACAGTGTACAATTGCACATACATGTCTTGGCTTTATGTTCTCTTCACAGTGAACATGTTAAGCCAAGACAATATATTGCATTAGCATTTATCTTATTAATTATATTATATTATCTGTGTGTATCCACACAGGATAATGTGTGTTCCAAAAAGGGAAGACATGTGCAGCCAATAGTATTACTCTATTTGATAGTACAGTGTCTAGCATGGACACTTTCTGTGACACATGGTGTTGTGAGGTTGCTGGCCTCAGTGACTGCCAGGTGTAGTGCAGGGAATTGACTTTACAAATTTCTCTGTTCCTTGACTATTTCCTTTTTGGTTCTGTTTCTCTTTCTTTCCTTTTTGTGTCAATCTTCTCTTTTCTTCCTCTTTTGGAAACCAATATGTTTCTGACGTTTTCTGTACATGGTAAAGAGATCAATGCTCTTGTCCCACAATCTTTTTTCTTTCTTTACTCTTTTTCTCATGCTATTCTATTTTCTACCTAAACTTGTTTTCCTTTCTCTATAATGTATTTCTTTATGCTATTTTAGTTGCTTTTGCAGTGGATAACTTTGTCACTATGAGTTCATCTCAATAGCACTATTTTAGTTTCTTTTTCTTTTTCATTTTCTCCTGAAGAATCATTGTTATAATGTATTCTTGTAACAATGCTAGTTTAGCTTATTAAATTTGTAGTTGTTATTCATCCATGATGTAGTAACAATGCAGTTGTCTTAATTCATTTTCTCTAAGATTGATTTCTTATGAAATCATTCTCTATTTTAATATTTAGTTCTTTAGTATAAATATCCCATTAACCAAGAACTGAAATAAATTGTCAAATACTACTTCAAGATCTTCTACTATCTTTTATTCTTCTGTTATTTTCTTTTGATATCTTCTGATACAAGTTGTGGGCAGTGCTACTGTGTTTTCTTGTGAAGTATCATTGTTATTTACAAATCAA